AAACTGAAAAAGACATTTTTTAGATCAGACTATTATCGGTTATCATTATGTTATATAGCAGGTTTTTAATTTTGTGAGTAATACAAATTCCTAATTTGTTTCAACCAATTATCTATTTTCGATTAAATTTTTAAAAAAAATCAACTTTTATATACCGTACGTACAGTACATAATTATAAATAAATTTTCAATTTTTTAAAAATTTTAATACTGTATAAAAGGTAAAGATGGTACGTACTATACGTACATATCGGGGATGAGTAAGTGGCGGATTAAATATGAATAATATAGATTTAATATTATATTTAATAATATTTAATAACATTTAATATTATTTAATCCAAAGATGGTTTTTTGGACAATTTAACAGTTTTAACAATTTTGGACAAGGTTTTTGGCATATGAAAAGCTGTCCAAAATTGTCCATTTTAACAACACTGAATTAATCCGCCATTTTAACCACCCAACCCCCTTTACCTTTTAAATTATAGAGAATTTTAGTAAATTTTATTATTAAGAGTATGTACAATTTAAATGCATTCATCTGTACTAGACGTATTATAAAGCTTTAGAGATATTGGTAATCTTACTGTCTAACCATATTGAATACCATATTATAACGTGGATTTTTATATAAAGGAAAAATAAATTGTAAAAAATATTGATGCCAAATTCTTATCATAAACTTGCGGACATTTATCCATAATATATTATGAACTTCCATGACATATATCACATAATGCGATATTTTTTCCATCGCTAACTTTGCCAGATGCCAGAATTGGATCTAAATAAGATGACGATGGTTTACATGAATCGGTATCACAATAAAATCTAAAACAATCCAAACATCCACGATCCAAATCACAGCTTACACAAAAGTTCTTTTGAACTTTGCAACTAGAGCATGGAACGGTGATAGTTACATTTGTTCGACATATTTCACATGTATCTAAAAAGTATGTAATAGAAAAAAAGAATAAGAATAAACAAATTACACATTTATCAGACACGAAATAGTAAATAATGATACATTACCAACATCAAGCTGTATTGGCCTCTCTGTTTTCAATTGTCTCAAAGCTTTCAAAAAACCGAATAACACGGTACTATAATAATCACTTACGTCATTCACGTACAAACGTTGTCTCATAATTGTTTTTGGACTCATGTCTTTACACCAAAGTACATATAATTTTCTTAGTTTTAATACAGGTACTAAGGGTTCAAACCAGGTTAGAGCCGTACCCAAGTCACGTAAGGAAAGATTTAAACAACCTCGGCAACTTATTTCCTCAAGATTTAGAAATCCATTTATGGATTCCCATATAGAAGTACAGTTAATAGAAGTGAAGTCAAAGTTTATGGAACAAACTACAGACGACAGATGATTCTTTCGTAACATATTGAGAAGTTGACGAGCGCGTCTATCGTCGATACGGGACAGTTTATAGGGTATTTGGAAAGTAGTATATTTAAGAGGGGATAAAAATTGTTTTTCAATTTGGATTTGTTCTTCAAGATTTATGAAACGAATGTGGCGCCATAGAGGTGGATGCTTAAGAACAAATGTCAAGTCTTTGCAAGAAAGTGCTAATGCGTTAAGTGAGTATAAATCAATATATGAACATATATCAACGATGATTTCAAAAGGAAAATTGATAAAATGCGGCATTCTCCTATTCTATTATTTCAGAATGAACAAAGAGGACGTGGCAAAAAAAGAAAAAAAAAAATTTAAAATTTACGATGTGACACATTGGATCTTGTATTACCAATAAGCTTGGATCATACCACGGTTTTTTTTTGCTTTAAACGATAAACGAAACACCATAAAAATCATTAATGCTTATTCAATAATTTTCTAAGCAGGAAATTGGATGGTCATTGGTGCATACAGATGATCGTCATAATTACATGAAAAAATTAGGAAAGATTAACACAAAATTGAGAACGAATTAATCAAATCGTCATGGCACCTACTTGAGTATCGTAAACAGCTAATTTAATGTATCCAGACATTTACCGTAGCCGAGGTATCTTGGGTATCTTGGTAGGGAATATAGGGATATCAATATAAATCAAAGATAAATAATCAAAATTGTTATAATACCCTTAAATCATTGTTGGGTTGGGTGTAAATTATGGAAAAAATTTATATTTCAGCAGTTTAAATACTTTAAAATTATGAAGATAAAATTGAATTTAAAACTCGTCATACATCCGATTCTTCCTACATGCATTCCTCCGGACAAGAAATATAAAAAAAGTAAAAACCTGCACTTAGAGGGAAGCTGCATTTAAGAAAGCAAAAAATATATAATATACTTCTAACCACAAGCGTCAATTAGCGGTTGGTGTAAATTTAGGAGCGTGCACGGTATGTATGTACGTACATACCAATATGTACGTACGGACGTACGTACATAGTACGTGCGTACATACTTGGGTACTTTTCGTTTTGAGGTGTTGCAATTGAGGGTCTGTGGCTTAATTCCTGTGGCTTAATTCCTGTGGCTTAATTCCTGTGGCTTAATTCCTGTGGCTTAATCAAAGCAAGGATTTTAAGATACCGATACCGATACGTAGTCACTCTAACGCTAAGTCAGTAAGTGCATAATATCAAAAATGCAGTCATTTAAAGCGCATAATATCAAAAATGCAGGTCTTCTCTAAACAAAAATCAAAAAAAAAAAAAAAAAGAGTTGACTACTTCTAAAAATAGAGATCTTCAAATAACATCAATTACATCATTTTTTCCGTTCTGACAATTTGTATTTTGAGAGGAGAAAAAGTCTGATCTTATCTAAGTGCGTAATCGGATGTTCACTCCGCTTGATCGCATGACATTAACGATTGGATTTTCACTCCTTAAAAAATAACAATGTATTACGTGACACTCGATTTTTAAGAAATACAATTTCAAATTAAAATATTTAAGGTTATAGCGATTAATTTTTTTAGATTTGACATTATTGTTAGTTTATTTATTTTTTAATTAAACAAAGAAATAATAGAATGAATAAAATAAATTCGAGAAACAAACTTTATATCTAGCAATTCTAACAATTATCTACATGTGATCTTTAAATTATCGATATTATACAATTATGGTTGTCGCTACCACTTACCAACCTTAAAGTTTTTAATTAATTTTTTAATTTCGGTTCTTTCATATTTTAATATTTGTTGTGTTTGTATATGTAATAATTCCAATCCATTATTTCTTTTGACAATTAGACTGCCTCTAGTTCTCTGCCGATCTGCCCCGCGCATTATACCTTCCCCACTCTCTCTTCTCATATCATTCCCTCTTAAACATAATCTTTTCAAAACAACGTCTAAATGTTCGTTTCCAAAACACCCGCTCCATAAAATTTCCAATTTTTTCAACTTTAATGTAGGATTACTTAAAAATAAATCTAAACTTTCAGGTGTGTATGTCCAACATGAATGTATGGATAAATTTTCCAAATAATTCAAATTAACTAAACTCGATTTTCGAAGTACATTATTTACATTTATTTCAGGATGTCGTGGTCCAAATATTGTTAGAGTTCGTATTTTTGGACATGAAAAAAAGAGTGTATGTAAATATGGTAATGAATTGGCATCAACGTAAATTTTTGCCAATGTTAAGTTCGGACAATATTGTGAGATGGTCTGTAAAACTCGATTGGGTGGAAGTGTGGTCGCTACCGTTTGCTGTTGCTGTTGTTGAAGAGATGACGTTGACCCCGGAGAAATTGATGTATTAAGTGTAGAAGGTGGTATGGAAATATTGGAAATGACCAATTCTTTTAAACCAACATTTGCTCTACGCAAAATAGATTCAATTGCTCCGCATGGCGCAGATGAAATTTCTAGTTTTTCAATCTTAGACTCAAATTCATGAACATCCGTCATATCTTCAATACCAGTTGATAAGCTTGCAACACAAGTTGGCAAATAATAACATGAATTTAGTAAAAGTTCTTCTAAATTCACAAGTTCAACCAACCTAACAAGTGGTCTCCAATTCTTGAAATTAACTTTGAAAAATATTATACTCCGCAAAGAATTTGTCTGGGTGATTAATGCGGAAATGATTTCACTTAATCCTATTTCGGTATACCCAAGTTCAAATTCTTTTAATTCTTGTTGAGACCTGATCAATGCGGTGATACCTTCAACTTGTGCATTGAGACTCTCGATTCCGTGTTTCAATAAATTTTTGGGATTAACTAGTGCGGGTGGAATGTCCATCCAAATTTTTATCTTTCGTAAATGGACTGCAAATTTGGAAAGTGTATGAAACAATTGCGCGTGACATGGAGTCGTGCAGATCAAACTGGATAGTTGAGAGAGTCGATGATTGGTATTTGGAAGGAGTGTATGAAACCATAAATGAGGCTCTATTGCGCACGATTTTTGATAAGTAACACGCAAAGTCTTAATGATTACGGAATGATTCATTAATAGTTTTCCGAGAATATCTGTGTTGAGCAAATATGCGATAGTGGCGTCACACCCACTTATTGAAGTGGAAGCCATGGTCCTCCTACACCCCATACGCTGAGGTTTTATTACTGTTTGTCCAAAAACGCTCATGTTGAAGGAATGTAATTTGGTATGAGAGGAGGTTGGTTGATGTATAAGTTTACCTTGTTCCTTCTGTAAATATCCCAACACAGCTTCTGAAAATTCGCTGATATCTAAGGATTTTAAGAATTGAATGTAGTTAAAAATGGGTAATTTATAGGGTTGACAGTTACATGTTTCTTGATCTTGGAGGCATGACATATATACTCTAAGAAGACTGGCCGCCCTTTCTGACCATGGTAAGCAGGTTTTTTTATCTTTAAATGTATGTAAAAATCGAAATGGTTTACTCCATAAGATCAACACCGCGCTTTCACACCACTGAGTGTTAACTAGGGTGCAAGAATGCAACGTGTTGGCATCCTCATCAAAATTTGCAAAGATTTTTACAAGACAATCTACCGGTAAATATTTGGACATTTTCATAAGATGGAAAGGGCGAAAAATGCTTACGATCTTACTGAATGCAGGTTTATATACCGATCTGACTGAAATTAGTGTAGCACAAGGTTGCGATAACCTTAACTGTGCTCTGTGTTTCTCATTTACGTAATTCGGGTAATTTATAGATTGAGCGGGTAATTAAGTGTTGCACAAACAATTTTTGACGCTAAAGTATAATCACGTGAGTTATACTTAAGAAGTAATAGGATCTTTTTTTTTTTTTTTTTTTTTTTTTTACCATACATCAACTATTTTCCAATTCATCCCTTATTGAAATCTTCGGAGAAATACGGTTCAATGTGCAATAAGGTCGAAATATGGAAAGGTGAATGGGTGATCTTCTAATTCTAGATGTATGTAAAAAAGAATCTTTCCACGCAAAGAAAGAAATTACTATAGTTCTTTTGGTGGCTTGGATTTGGATTTTTCATTTCGATACCTTTATGCATAAAGAATCATGGCAAACAAATGATATTTTAGGAAAGTTTTTTTTTACGTAATTTTTTTTCATGGGAATCAAAGTGTATGCTGTTTATACTGTTATACTGTTATTTATACTGTACGTGATTATCATCGGAATCTCAGTTGGCTAAACTCCTTTTAAAACCTATTTTTCGATTACAAAAGTGAGTGAATAAATCTGCTTTTCATAGAGTTTTCTTCGTTTCAAGTGGTAATTTTAGCTCATGTATCAATGCTACATGATTTGATTAAGTGTGAAACAGTATGATGTATATCTGAATGTAGTTCCAAATTCCCCTTGCGATATATTCTTGTTCATATCACATACCTTTTATGGACCGGCTATTTTGTCGTTCCGTTATCATTGATATCTCTTTGTTATTTCGACTTTTAAAGCGTAGATCGTACGTTCATATGATATCTATGAAAAGCCAATTAGCTTTTGTTCCGTAAAGTCACAGGATCGTGGGTCTTATAATCGTTATATTAAA